CACATACATACACACACACACACACACATACACACACACACACACAAGTTTAGAAAACGAAGAGTACTGAAAGGTATTGTGGCAGGCAGAATAATGCCCCCTCCCCACCCCAAACTGTTCATATCCTAATCCCCTGGACCTGTGAATGAATGTGTTACCTTACATGGCAAAAAGGAGCTTTGTGGATGTGATTAAATTAAGGGCCTTGAGATGGGGAGATTGTCCTCAACGATCTGTATGGGCCCAGAGTAATCACAAGAGTCATTAAAAGCAGAAGAAGAAACAGATCAGGAGGTCAGAGTATATGCAACATGAGGATTTAGCCTGCCTTTGTTGACTTCGAAGATGGAAAGAAGAGCGTGGGCAGCCTCTAAAAGCTGGACAGGGCAAAGAGCCCCAGAGCCTCCAGGAGGAAACACAGTCCTGCTGACACCTCGATTTTAGCCCAGTGAGACCGTGTCAGACTCTATCATACAGAACTGTAAGGTGCTAAATGTGTGTGATGTGGCTAAATTTGTGTTAATTTGTTACAGCAGCAGTAGAAAACTAACAAAGGAAATAAAAAAGTGAAACCTTCTTTTCTTTATTTTCTAATCTACTTTTGCAAAGTAGATTCTTTTATGTTCATCCAGAAAATTATTACATACATGCCAAGATATGCCTATCTATATATTTAACATGAGAAAATTTAGAGTATATCCATGACAGACCATTCAAATAAAATCTTAAATCTCTTCCACACCTCATCTTCCCCATGTAAAATATTCTGAGATGAAATTAAATTACTATTAAAAAGCATATTTTAAAAAGTGAGGTATTCCAGTAATTCAATTATTTTTGAGGAAATGATTTACTCCCATCATGCTACTTACATCATCCTCTTTAGTTCCACCCCAGAAGTTAGTGCCTCCCGCATAGCTGGGGATGTTCAACACTGCTATGCCTTGCAAACTGGGGAGAGGAATATACTGCCCATCACACTGTAAGGTAAAAAACTTAAGAGATTAGGTAAAAAGGGCAAAACCACTACTTTGGAAGACAGTAAAATACCAAAGACAAAAGGCGATGGAGCAGAATGCATTGGTAATGTCTGCTTTCCTGTTAATACATTCTTACATGTTGCAAAAGGTTTTATCTTATTTTTTTTAATTAAAATAATTTAAAAGTGTAAATAACTATAGCAGAAGCTGTTACAGAGAACTGATTTTTAAAAAATGTTATACCTCTTTACTCCAGAGCCAGGCAGTACTTTTCTTGAGTCTTTTTCAGGTCACTTATGATATTCTCACTTGTACTGTAGTTCTCTCTGTACTTATTTTAAGTATCCTTTTGAAAGCAGGCTGTGTAAGGGCAGAATCTGGTACTAACTGTCTCACTTAGCACCTCTCACAGTCCCCGATACATTGCTGGTGCTCTATAACCACCTGGGGACTGGCTAAACTCAAAAGCTGAGTTGTTCAAGCAGTCAGAACCAAAGCCAAGCAAAAATACACTACCACTTAAAGAGGGGAGAGGGGAAAGACATGGCTGCTGAAATGATGTGATGTGAATAAATTCTGAGTAGAAGTAGAATTGTTACCTTGTCATAAATGTTGTTTCTTAAATTAATTTTTTAAAATTAAATTAATGCTATTTGCTTTTTTGGCACATAGCTGGTATTCAATGTATATTTGTTTTTCTTTTAGAGATGGGAGTCTTGCTCTGTCGCCCAGGCTGGAGTGCAGTGGCACAATCATAGATCACTGCAGCCTCAAACTCCTGGGCTCAAGCGATCCTCCTGCCTTAGCCTCCCAAGTAGTTGGGACTACAGGTATGTGCCACCGTGCCTGGCTACTGTTTGCTTCATTCTATTAACTCTTAAACAAAGCCTTAGTTGCCTATTAAGGTGACAATCAGTTAAGAAACTGATTTTTTAAAAAATTACTTAAGAAAAATGACCATAATTATACTATATAAATTATATGATGATCATATTTAATATTTTAATCAGCATTTAAACTGAACCACTTAACATTTTTCTAAGTGAACATTTAATCCAACTGAAAGATTTAAGCCTTCATTTTAAAAGAGAAGAGCCTGCAGATGTTACACTTAAAATATATGCTACGTTTTCATTAATTTCTTATGCTAAAAATAACAATTTTTTTTAAATTGCATTTTAATATGCAATCAAAATTATCTCCTACCTTTAGAACAAAGGAAAATCCAGTCTGAATCCATTTCAACCACTTTAAATAACTCAGACTTCATAAACGATTTACCCCACGTGCATTTTTTACAATTCCTTTTTTTCCTTTTTCATGAAAACACAGTGTTAACCATCAGACCAGGTTGAGCATTTCACATCCAAAGGTCCACACTGTAACCCAGCACCTAGGGGTGTGCCTGACACATAGCTGGTGTTCACTGTATATTTGGTAAATGAATACATATTAAATACTTACTAGAATAATAAACTTGTTCTCCATCCAATGCATTAAACAAGTATCTTTGTGTGCTTCAGAAAAAGCTATTTTAAGTCATATAACTAACTTAAAGGAAATGGAAAAAAATAAAAATACTATCTCTATAAATATAAGAAGTATTTTTAAAAATAATTCAGAGCAGCCTTTAAAGATTTTAGAAATGGATGCACTTTATTTGCAAGCATGGTATGGAAAAAGAACATTTTCAGAAAGAAGTTTCATGTGCAGTGCTGAATTTAACATATATGCATTAAGCAAAACATCTGGAGTGAACTGCTTAATATCCATCTTATAGAATCTCATAGGAAAAACAGAAGCAGCACAGATAACAAATTAAGGTCACATGACTCAAAAGTTTTTTATATTCAGGAAAAATGTCAGGAGTGTTCTACTCTTTCATAATCTGCCCTATCATCCCACGGTTCTATTTGTGGGTTCGAGATGTTGCAAAATGCTACAAAACTGCAGTTACACTTTTTTTCTGATCTGTCTTGCTGTGCTCATTTCACCAGGTAATATGGTATGGTGATTAAGTCTATCTGTCTTAATTTTATAAGCAATGATAAATCGAACCAGCTGATCATGCAGTTGTTTTTAGAGTAAAACGTGTAGTATGCTGATCTTGACCAAGACATGTAGCTGATAATGAATGAACCTGGCACCTCTTTAGCCCACATTCCAGTTGAGATAACATCTAAAATAACAATGCTCTGTTTAAATTGTTGAGCTGTAGACTTAACATTTATACATTTTTTGTATGTATGATGTACTTTAATTTAAATGTGTATTTATTTTTTGTTCCAATTATTTCTAACAAGAAATTA